TTTGGTCTCCTGGGATAATGTGGTGCCCAAAACCAAAATGAGTAATGTAGAGAACATGGTCCAATTAAAGGAAGCTACAGCATTAAGTCACTGATTCTATAATGGTTACAGAGATTTTCCTGATACTCTTTTGCCCTTCTTTTCCCTGGGGAACAACTGCTGATCCATGCATTCGCTCTTTTACCTCAAAGAATGCTTCAATATGTCAAACATGATCTAGACAAGAGTATAGTGTCAAGTCCACAGGCTGGTTATTGCTCAACAGTTGCTCCACAGCACAGTGCATACATGCATGAAGAAAAACACTTTCTTGCTTACATACTCAGATACATATAAAGACAACATAACACATGCTGTATTGTTATAACAATGCCACTGACAATACTACTTACTCTGATTTGAATCTGAATTGCAAGTAAACCAACTACGGAACCAGGATGCAGAGATAATAATAATAATAATAATAATAATAATAATACATTCACACAGGGAATCAAGTTTTTCTGCAGTTTCACAAGACAAATTGTGTATTTGTGTGTAAATGTATTCAAACTGTCAAACCGACAAATGCCACTCCAGTATACTGTCGTTCTGTTCTCAACTCTGGCTCCCTTCATAGCAGCACACAGGGACCTAACATAGCCCTATATATCACACAGACAAGCATGTGCATTACTAGTATAATAATAGCTGCACATATTTCTACCACAGCATTCCTTTTTGTAGAACTACAGTATGAACTGGGATGAGAAAACCAATTGAGCATGTTTGGGTGTGTGCTGGTTACTTCATGTGTGAGGATTAGCTGAAGAAGCTGTCCTTGTATCATCAGTTGTTAGCACACCACTATCACAAGCCAACTTTCTGAACGTTTTCTTTGCTTGGCTGATTGTGCTTCTGGCTGTAATATAATTCTGGAAATTACAGGGCATATTGACATATGACAAGGTTATTCATCAGGCGAGAAGACAACTAGTAATTACTGTATTGGCAATCAGAAGAGATGCTGAAAATGTCTGTATAAGCCAAAAGCTTAGAGAACTTGTAAATCAGCCCAATTTATTATCATTTATTAGTTTAATATCTATTTAAATATTACAACAACATTAAGTCTTCATATACCATAATAGACATTAAACATTCACTTGTACACATTCTAAGTTACTGTACATATGTGACAGATCATTTTGGGCCAGATCATTTCAGTGCAGCTACTATGCTAGTATATAGAAAATACACAATTAAATGATGCATTCAATTAGATGGCAGCTTGACTCAGTATGCTGCCATCTAACATGCCAGCACTGTGGAGAGGAAATATGGTGTGAGGTGGTCCTGAGTCAACTTGCTGTCAAAGATAAATACAGATATAAACAAACACAAACATGTTGTGTGTGTGAATTAACTTGAAAAGTCATGTAAATGAAGGAGGAGTTAATTTTTTTAGCTCACATACGGCAGGAAAAAAAAAAAAAAAAAAGCAAAGCTGCCTTAGTAGTTATTGTTTTGCTGACGGTGCTTCTTTCCCTG